AGACATATTTAAGACAATGTTAGATATACAAAATATTTTATCATCTTTTAAGAAATAAACCATGAGAAATAGTAAACTCTCGTATATTTTACAGCTCGGTAGTTATCGATTTCGGTTGTAGAATAAAATGCTATACTTTTTTCGTAAAGCAAACGTGAAAAGCATTCTTCTCTTGATCTTTCCGAATTTTGCGTAAACGATAAACCGAAAGAACGAGAACGCAACATCGCTATTTATGTTACCATATCGATCGTTCCTTCAGTAAATAACGCCTACGCATCATAAATGACACTTGGAAACGCGCGCGCAATGGGATACGTACGTATGTATCAGGCTTGTCAAATCTATACAATGCTCTCGATGTGATCGTTAAAGGGTCGTTGGCTTATTAATACATAAAGGTAATTGGTTAAACATGACTGGCATTGACGTCGTTCGAAGATAAGATCCTTCGAAGATCGCACGTTGTACAAGCATGCAGGTGTAAAGATAGAAGCGTATAGACGCATAGAATCCTACGTGCCTCAATACGCGGGCATTGTTGGTCGTTTACATAATAATAAGCGCTGGCATTTGTCACTTGTATGATAAAGCTGAATGGTGCCCGATATCACATCAAGTGACTTTTTACTTTTGGTTGTTTTCTTCGTCGTATTTTGATTTGATTCCGAATTCACAATCACTCGTCGCATAAATGTTTTCGGTATCACGTGGGGCAATGAAAGGACGAAATTTTGTGGTGCGAAGTAAACACAAAAGAAGAGTAAATGTAAGTGCGAATATACTCGTCATTATGCGGCGAGCTCAAGCGATAATATTATCTGAAACACTTTTAGCACAATTTTGGTGCACTCGCTGACTTACTCATTCCTAAAATATTCCAATTTATCAGATGCATATATTCCATTGTCGATTTAAGTCGTTTATTCACGGTCCGTGCGAAAATCTTTTTCTTACAATGTACTTGGTTTCTATAATTTTTTATCCTACGCAGAATATTTCAAGAAATTTAAATGTCCTTTCAATAATAAATTATTTCAAATTAGAAATTTTTCTTTAGATATGATAAAAAATTTTTGCTTCAAACTGAACTTCAAAGATCCAATAATAACGTTCTTCAGTTAATTTTCATTGATTTTGATCAATATTTAATTTAAAATTTAGTTACAAAAATATATGATCAAAGTATCTACTTAAATATTGGAAAAAAATTCTCTGAGAATTCCTTGATATTCTACACAAATTTCCAGATAAAAATAAAGCATATTTTACATGCAAATTTAAAATAAATTGAAGAATTTGTTTTTTGTGTCTCTTAGGATTTCCTATTCATATCTACGAAGAAAGAACTAACAAGACACTTAAGATGCAAATGAAAATGTACTGAAAAGAAATGAAAGCTTAACCGATTACATCGTGAAAGCAAAATCAAAAAATTAAATTAAGGATTACATTTTCAACAAAAATTCTCGAAATCTTAAAGCATAGATAAAATTCCTTGAAAATTCCCTGCTTTCTTCAACGTGAAAAGAATGCTTTGTAAGAATTCCAGATTTTTCGATCGTACATCTTGAGGATATTAAAAATCAGAAAACTTGTAACAAATTCACGATGTTTTACGAGGAATTTTTTTTTGTTAAGAACAAATTGACCAAAGAATCTTTCAAAATTTTTGAAATATCTTGTGCAGAGGACTGTGAATTATGAAACAGCGAGCGATATATGACCCATTTGTAACAATGTAAAATGGTTTTCTATGAAAAAAAAAAAAGAAGAGTAATTACGCATCTCTGTAGCCTCGCTATGAATCTTTTATCGCTGTCATAAAAAACGGAAACGCAATGTGAACAAATATGCGATAAAGCATGTGATTTGCCTCGTGTACTTGGTCGAGTAAATGTTGAAACAACTACATATGCATCCAGATATCTATCCGCCCGTATTATTTCGTGATAAATTTCCCACACGTGATTTTACAACGATGAGATATCGATGTTACATAAAAAATGTTTTACACGGTGTAAGTCAAATTGTTTTCGTAAGAGTTATTTTTTTTCTCTACTTTCATTTCTACGGTTTTACACATGTTTGATAGAGGAGCGGTATATTAGGTCTGATGCACAGATAACAAGTATCTTTTCGATATGTTTGTACTGATAATTGAATCGATTCGATCGAACCGTTTGATATTTCGGATCTCGAGATCCCAACTGTCTGAACTGCCTCGGCCATCTGAAATTTCCGAGCACACTTGGAAAGTGTGCCACGGGTTCCAAAGGTTGGAAGCCGTTGCGGTAGCAGCATTTATCGAATGAGTCTTCGTTTTCTGCGCGAGCAACCGCTTTCTTTTTCACCGAACGCACGCTATCTTGGTCGCCCGGAGTGTCAACTTTCTGTTAGCCAGTCGTCGCACGTTCGGACACGTATTAGAAATCTCACGGTCGCATCACCGATCGGATCGTCCGACTTTCGCGCCCACGAGGACCAAAAGTTACACACACGACCATTTCGTGCGCGAACTTCGCGGAGGTAAGAAACAACGGTCTAAGGTCGCGTGATAAAATGGGCGAATGCGATAATATGTTTTCCGCCCAAAACCCACAGATAAGGTTATCGCATTCAAATCGCAAGTGGATCCTCATTTGTGACTCACGGCTTTTATTTCGCCTAACGAAATGCGACGAAAATCTGAAGAATACTTCCTTCATATTTTCGTCGTTCTCCTCATTTTCCCCTTCATTACAGATGCCGCGGAAGTATTTTTCATCTGAGGGGGCAACATTTACAAAGGGGATGCATAATATATTCATAGTATGTATATGTATGGAACTCCATTCAAACACCATAATAGGCCACTCAGTGGGTAGTATAAATGTACGAAAAAT